AGAAGAAGAAGAAGAAGAAGAAGAAGAAGAAGAAGAAGAAGAAGAAGAAGAAGAAGAAGAAGAAGAAGAAGAAGAAGAAACCACAGAACCACAGAAACAATTAGGGAAATATAGGACGTGTCAGGGCCAAGTTTAGATCTATTATGAGGAAGAAGAAGAAGAAGAAGAAGAAGAAGAAGAAGAAGAAGAAACCACAGAAACAATTAGGGAAATAAAGGACGTGTCAGGGCCAAGTTTAGATCTATTATGAGATCCTAGGCTGTATACTATTAAAAACAAGATAGAAAGTCTGAGACTTTTAATTTAGTCTATAAAGGAAAGAATATTACTCCCTCACCCCACAATACATAAGCAAGGGATCTTGAAAATAAAAGAGGAGGGGGTGGACTATCTGGGGTGAAGTGGGTGTGAGGGACAAGAAAGAAGTAGGGAAGGTCTGTCCCGTTGTCTTTAGACATCAAAGACCCTCTTTTGTCACTGGCGTCTTTCCTTCACCGTGCTATTCCTCACAGCACCACGCATTGCAAAAAACTTCACACAAAGGATTCATTTCCTTAATATAAAAAGAACTTTTGGAAACCAGGAAAGTGTTCAAAAGACCTGAAAAATCAGCTCACAGTGGGGGGAAAAAAAGAAATGTAAGTGCTAATAGGCAGATGAAAATCTACATAAAATTTTTATAGTGCTATTTTATGACCACCTGGACAATGAATGAAGACTTTGGCCAAACCCAATATCATTAAGATAGTGGGAAAAAAAGGCAATCTTAGACACTCTGGTGGGTGCGTAGGCTGCTATGACTTTTGTGGAGGGTGATATGCCAGTATCCAAAAAGGGATTTTTAGAAACTAAGTTGTAGGCAATATATTTTAGCATGGCCTCATTTATATTAAAAGAAGATATATATGTGTGTATATTTATATTTATATATACTTCTATAGTCACAGGAAAAGTTCAGGATACCAAAGAAACCAATAGCAGTGGTTATTTCTAGATTTAAAGGGTATTAAGTACATGTGCTTAATTTACCTTATTTTCCAGAAATAACAAATAACTTTTGCCCTGAGTATAGATTAGCAACAATAACAAAAACTATGTTGAAAAGAATCCATAAGAATTAAGAATACTGATAAGTTAAAAATAAAATTTTCTCATTTCATTATTTTTGTTGATGATTTTGATGATTTTTGCATATGAAAAAATATATTCTCTATGTAACATGTGATATAACATATGGTAACGAATCCCTATTTATATCCCTGTCCCAACTTCTCCCTTGATTTCTAAGGACACAGGTCCAACCTCCCCTTGGTATCGGTCCTTGAGTGTTTCAGCATTGCACACTGAATCCTGAATTTCCTTCCCCGAACCTGCCGCCTTGCCCTCTCAGGAGGTACCCTGATGTCATCTGTGTTTCTCTAACTCTAGAGCCCATGAACAAGTTCTTAAGCCCATGAACAAGTATCTGGGACAGTAGTACAGATGACTGTGACAAAGAGCACCTTCCAAGCCTTGCCCTGTTCTGAGTGCATCATGCCAACCTAGAGGAATGTGCACCTTTGCTAACACACACAGAAACATCTCTGTATTTGCAGGAATCACCGGAGAACCCCACAGCTCCATTCAAGTTCACACAGGTGCTGTGTAATGAGTGGCAGCCCTCCCCACCACTCATAGGACACTGTCGCCATGCCTTCTGTGTCCTAGAAACACATCTGAGGCACTGCCTCACCACACACTCTCACCTGTCCCTTGGTGATCTATCATAGGCACGGGCACCGGATGAAACCGTTCTACAGTCAAACTGGGTGCCATCACACTGCCTGCTGAAAACTCAGCCTAGATGGCAGCAAAATCCAAAACCTGCCATGACCAACCAGGCCTGAGCTTTAGCCTTCCCCTGCAAGCATCCTTAGCATGTCCAAGCTCTGGGGTGCCCACACCGTCCTCTACAGTTAAGTGCATGAACTTCCTCCTCTGACCACTTCAAGTTCCTTATCTGGAAAGTGCTTTAACCATACAGCCTCTGCCTGTCCTGGTACATCTATGCAAATGTACCTAACCAGGGAAAAGCCACCCAGCACATCTGTAAAAGATCCTTCCACTCTTCAGCCTGTTTACCTCTTTGTCTTGGAAGCATTTATTGTCACCAAATACTCATCATGTATTTCTTGATTTGCTTTTGATAATAGCAATGATTCACTAAGGGCTTTCTATGTCATGGGTACCATGCTAAGCGCTTCCACATCTTGTTTATGAGCTGAAACTGTCCGTTTCCCCATTTTTTTTAGACAAGATCTTGTAATATAGCCTAGGCTGGCCTAAAACCCTTAGCCCTCCTGCTCCAGCCTCTTGTGTGCTGGGATTATCACCAACACAAATGTAGGCATATGTTACCATACTTAAACATCTTTTTTTTCACAGGTTAAAAACTCCTTAGGTGGTGACTAAGTCAGGATCCGGACTTGTTATCTGCAGTCCAGATAACACTTTGCCCCTGAAATTCCACTGACTGACTTGAAGGCTAAATATTTTTGTGTTTACCTGGAATGGAATAGGGCTGCAGAATAAATGCTGAATGAAAAACTTAAATTCCTTCTATAGAAAGCTCCAGGTAAATATAAAGTATCTTGAACATAGCTTTGGAGCAAGAAGGTGCACTCTGGGGACGAAGTCCTCGACTACTGTGCCTTTGCTCTGCACTGTTGCCTCTCTAGAGACAGGAAAACAAAACTTCCTGTGTCGAGATCTGTCACTGAACAGGACAGGTGGTCTATATTGTAACCTGAATTCTGAAGTAACCACTGGCTGGCTGCTTGCTGTGAGCTCGGCAACATTCATACCTATCACCTCATTTCACTCTCACCAATCTGGAGTTTAGATGCTCTTGTTACCCTCATCTTACTGAGGAGCAGAGTTACCTAGTTATGCTAAGGGTGAAAGACCTAGGTTTCTGGTAAGGCAGGCTGGTCGAGGAGTCCTTTGGAGAGAGAATGTAGAAATTCAATATGACAGTTAAGATGTTTGTTCCTTGGCCTCTTATCATGGGGGAGTTTCAAACGTCAACCAAGAAGAGAAAATAGTAAATGTCTAGATGCTGTTTTCTCCATTACGATGAGAATAGTAACCATGTTAATTTCTGTTCACTTAACTTAGCCTCGGAAAACTTACAATGCATGTAGATATACAAGGACAATGGCCAGCATACTTAGGTTTAATAAAGAGAAGACACACTGGAGGGGGGAGAAACATGGAGGCAGGAGACCGTGAGCATTTTTGGAACAACAGCTGTAATGAAGGTACTTAGCCCCTGTGCTTTCTCTTTTAATCCTCACAATTAAAAGAACAAAAACCCATTTGTTGTTTTCTAGTTAAAGCAGCTTAGCATAAAACACAATGGATAGAGTCTTACTAATTACAGCTTTCTACTTCCAGTCTGGATGGTTTTGTGTACTGGGCATGAGAAAATACTCAGGGTAGTTCAAACGCCAAGTTTACCTACATGATGAATTCTCCTGTTTCTTCTATGTGCTTGTATTTCCTTTTTTTCTTTAATTTTTTTCATACACTATATTTTGAGCATGTTTTCCACTCCCCTAACTCCTACCAGATCCTCCTACCTCCCTACCCACACAATTTCATTTTCTTGTCCTCTCCCCAAAACAAAAACAAAACAAAAAATGATAATAAAAGCAAACCAATGAGACAAAAAAAAAATGTCAAAACAAGCCTACAACAACAACAAAACCAGTTGGTGTTCATTTTGTGTTAGCCATCCACTCCTGGGCACGGGACCTGTCCTGTCCAGGAGTGTGGTTGATATACCTAGGGAGACTCCATTGCAGAAAACAGATCTTCTCTTTGCCAGCAGACAACCATTGCCAATAGTTTCTTGATTAGGGATGAATTTTACTATGCTGAGATGTCACTGTGAGTACCGAACTTTAAAATGATTTAAATTATCATTGTAAACTATTTCAAGAAATATATCATTAAGCAACTTAAATGCTTTAATCATGACTCATCTACTTAAGCCTTTAAAGATGGAAACTATGGGTAAACAAGGAGAGGGGATTTGGGAGTCCGGCACGTTTCAGGGATACCACAAGTCCATCTGGAAATCTCAACCCTGGAGCGCCCCCCTCCACATTTGCACAACCTCATTTCTTAATTTAAATTTTTCAAGTGAAAGATATGAGATTCTCTGAGCTGATGACCCCAGAGATTCAAATCATTCAGACAGGAAATAGTGCCCAGAGCAGGTCAGGTCTCTTTATGGGTCAAGGGTTAGGGGCATCTGGTTCCATTTCCCTGCTAGAATGCTTTTACCGAAGAACAATATGCCTTGGGTTTTATAAAGGTAATTGCTCCAGTAAACTCTGGAGAGGGTGATGAGCCTACTTTTTTTACTTGAAGTAAAAAAAAAAAAATTAAGTGTTAGCTTGTAGAGGAAAAGTCCATTGGGATGACTCTGGTCGAGTCACCCCATTACGTGTGGCTTTGGCTTCTATTCTTTTGTAAGTTTGTGACCTTTGAGACCTAAGTCACACCATCTCCTTTATCTCCTCAAATCTGAACAATTGATTTCTGTTTTGCTCAGAGTAAACTCAAAGTTGTTACCATGGACTAGGAGGCCCTGTGAGATGTTGTGGCGGCTGTTCTTGTTCTCCCCATGCTCTCTCCCCACTCTGGTGGCCACACTGTTGTTCTGTGGACATGCCAAGCATTCTCCTATGCCAGGACTTTACACCTGTGCCCAGCACCTTCTGTCAGATAGCAGTGGGACTAGCTCTCAGGCCCACTGTGCAGATGTGATATTCTAAGCTCTGTAAAATAGCACCCTGTCTGCCACCTCAATACTCCACCGCATGGATTCCATTTCATTTTCTCCTGTAACACTTATTACCATCTGGCCTGCAATTACTTGCTAATATCTCTTCAGTATGGGAAACTCTTCAAGGACAGAGGCCTCATTCCTCCCCTGTAACATCTCCCCCTAGAAAAATGTTTGGCACTATTCATAGCCAGTGTGTGTCCCCTGGAGAACAGAGACTGGTACTGATGAGGATGAAGCTGGGCTGTTGACACACAGGGGCCACCAGATCCTCTTCTAATTGCTTTACCCCAATTAGCTCATGCCATTCCCACAATGGCTCTTGATGAGGCACTGATATCCCTTCCTTCTGATGGGTGGGGAAACTGAGACACAAGACGTTAGGTATTTGGCCAACATCACACAACTAACAAACTGACAAACTCAAAGGAACCTTAACTAATTCACCCCCTTTAATTTACAGTGGAAGAAAACATGTTCAGATGAGTTACTGATGAGAAGAGTGGCATCTAGCACTGCCTCTCCCTGTCTTCTCTGACCCCCCCTGCCAGCTGCAGCACTGCTTTTGCCATGGTGTCATCACCATGCCACCCTTCCCTATGTGAGGGGAGACCCAGAGAGCTCAGAAGCACACCTCACACACAGTGAACACAAAGCAAATAATTTGGGGAGGGGGGCAGAAATGAGGATAGAATGTTTGGAAGCCTAGAACTCTCTTCTCAGTAGCAATTCAGTCAGCTCCATGTAGAAAGGGCATGAGGATTTGGCTCTATAAACCCTGGCTAAGAGCATCTATGCATACCCAGCTCTGGCACAGCTGGGTCAGGCACAGCTGACAGCAGCACGGGGGACCTTGCTTGGGTACAGAAGACAGCTGCACAGGATTGAAAGAGCAGCCTGCTCTCAGAGCCAACTGCTATGAAACCCTGTCCATATGAGCACGCCACTGCCCACCCACCTTCTCCATCCAAGTCTACCTCCTGGAACCAAGATCGATGGCTAATTTCACAGCATCCAAAATGTATGTGTGCGTGAGAGAAGGTTTATGTGTTTAGTGGATGTGTTGGTGGGTGTGTCAGAGGCTATGAGTGGGCTCTACAGCTATGCTGGCAAGTATGTGGGGACACAGGCAGTGGAGGGTGGGCTCCTCACAGAGTGACTGGCCCTGGACACTCCCAATCCTTGTGTCGAGGCCTTGTCTCTTCTCACCTTGTAGGAATGCCCACTGGTACCTATTAATAAAACATTCCCCTCTCTAAACGTTCATTGGAATAACACTAAAGAAGTGTTTGTGCATCATATAGATAAAATGTACCTGTTAAAAGTAGACCTGGCTCCTTTTCATTCTCCTTGAATCCTGTCCCATTGTATTTACTAAACAAAGACACATCTAAATACCATCTGGACCTCTATGACTAGCGCATGACTGAGTGTTCACCATTCAACAGTGCTGGGGGCAGGCGAGCTGGCTGTGGCTGGGTGTGACTGCCAGGCAGCAGGGCTCTTTCAAACAGCTGCCAATCACTAAGAGTGAGTCAGATACCATCTGAAGCAGAGTTATGAGAGTGGAAGTACCTCCAGGAAGAGTTTAGGAGTCAAAAGTCTCCCCTGATTACCAGGAGGTGGGGAGTGAGTATTGCTAGTGAGAGCTCTGTCCCTCCCAGATCTCTCCAGCATGGACACTGGAGCCAGGACCTCCCTGGAGGCCCAAAGGCAAACCAGGAAGAATGACACAGTTGCTACCCCTTTTATTCTCACATAGGTTTGTTTAAAACCCACACAGGTTTTAATTGTGACATTTGAAAATGTGACATTGATTATTCATAGGTTTAACATTTGCATATCTTTCTCTATAATCAGATCTTCAGCCAAAATGTTTCCTTTATATAAAAAAATGACTAAAGCTTACGGTGATCACTTATTATACCTGCTGTGGTAGCAACTTTATGCAGGCTTCATCTTTATATTTGTCCCCGTTCTA